TGTGTGTGTGTGTGTGTGTGTGTGTGTGTGTGTGTGTGTGTGTGTGTCTGAGCGAAGGGGGGGGGGGGGGCAGAGGACCCCCGAGCTGCCTCTCTCTCTCCGGAGCCGCTCCGCATCCACCTGTGGATCCCCCCCCCTACCTCCAGCTGTGCCAGGAACAGAAGCCGCGGCCGCAACCCCCCCCCTCTTATTTGCTCACACCGCGAGCTGCGCGTTTGTCGGCGACCAGGCAGGGAAGGGGAGGGAAGCCCCCCCCCCCAAGCCCCGGGGTTGTCTTGCCTCTCTACGGCGCCAGCCGAGGAAGCCTCTCCTCCTCTGCGCTCCAGTTCCTATCTCCGCCAGGCATCCCGTGCCTTGAGGACTAGAAACTTGCTTTCCCCTAGAGGGCAAGGCTCGGGGAAAAGGCCAGTTTTTCCGGAAGGCGGCTATTGCTGGAGCTGTTTCTGCTGCTGCGGGAGCGGGCGGCACACACGTCAGCTGTCCCTCCTCCTCTTCCTCCTCCTCTTCTTCCTCCTCCTCTCTCTCCCCCCTCTTCCTCCTCCTCTTCTTCCTCCCCCTCTTTTTCTTCCTCCTTTTCCTCCTCCCCTCTTCCTTCTCCCCCTCTTCCTCCCCCTCCTCTTCTTCCTCCTCCTCTCTCTCCCCCTCCCGCTCTTCCTCCCCCTCCCGCTCTTCCTCCTCTCCCTCCTCTTCCTCCTCCTCCTTCCCGGAGCCGGTGACGGCGGTGCCTTTCAACCTCCCCCGGCGGCTGACGCCAGCAGCGCCCGGGGAAGGAGCCTCGGCGGCGGCCACAGCTCCAGCCAGCCCAGCAAAGGCGGGATGGAGCCTCCGCCGCCGCGCCGGAGCGCCGGCAGGAGCAAGCAAGCGCTGCCCAGGAGCCGAGCAGGGGAGCCGGCCGGCTGGCGCAAGGTGAGTCCGCCGCAGGTAGCCGGCCGAGGGGATGCGGGCGCTGCAAAAGGGGGGGGGGAAACCTGCGTGGGTCTCCTCCCCCCCCCTTTCCCTTCACGCGTGCACGGGAGAAAGAGGGAGCGCGCATGCCGGGCAGGCACGTGGAGGCGGCGGGCTGGAGACGGACGCGGGGGCGCGCGTGGCTTGCTCGCGTCCTATCCCCCCTCATCATCCCCGTGGGAGTCCACGCGCGACAGACTCTGCGCTCTTTTGAGCCCTCTGAGAAGATCCCCGGGATGGAGACCCTTCCACGGGGCAGAAAAGACCCCCCCCGTAGGTTTCCTTTGCGCCAACCCCCCCACCCCCGCGCGTGGGCTCAGAGGTGGGCTGTCGTGGGATGGAGTGGGGAGGGGGCCCGTTTTGGGCCGGATTTGGGGGTCCTTTGCATCCCCAGCGCCTCTCTTGGTACAGTCCTCGGGAAAGGAACGAAATCACGCGCACACGAAAACGCACACGCAGGGAAAGAATCACGCGCGCCGTTTTCTTCCCCCGGCGCTTCGTCTTTTGTTGCCCTTTGCAATCGCTGTCTTGGGGGGTGGGGGGTGGCAGGGACCCCCCGGGATGAGGGATCTCATTGGGGGGTGGGGGGTGTAAAAACAAGCAGGGAAAGGAGACTGCCCGAAGCAGCTTCCAATGGGAAAGGGGGCTATCCTCCCCCCCCCATCCATCCACCCCCTTCCCCCCACTCTCTGTCTGGACTAAAATAGGGAAGGAGCAGACCCCCCCCCCCACTCCTGAAGGCCATGGAGGCTGGCCATTCTATCTATCTATCTATCTATCTATCTATCTATCTATCTATCTATCTATCTATCATCTATCTATCTATCTNCCATGATGAGTTGCCCATGGTGAGTTGACCATGGTGAGTTGACCATGATGAGTTGCCCATGGTGAGTTGCCCATGATGAGTTGACCATGGTTAATTGGCATGGCAAGTTGCCCATGGTGAGTTCCCTGTGATGAGTTGGTCATGATGAGTTGGCTATGATGTGTTGGCCATGATGAGTTGACCATGGCAAGTTAGCCATGATGAGTTGACCATGATGAGTTGGCCATGATGATTTGACCATGATGAGTTGGCCATGATAAGTTGCCCATTGTGAGTTGCCCATGATGATTTGACCATGATGAGTTGCCCATAGTGAGTTGTCCTGTAATGAGTTGGCCATGTCAAACTCCCAAGCTCTGCCAAGGCATCCTGCCTGGAAACTCCCCATGGCCAGGTTGCCCAAAGGGGAAGAGGCCTCCCCTTCCTCCGTCCCCATTCTCCCTCATGTCTCATGCAAAACTTCTAAGAATATCGCCGTTCATAATAGCCACGTCAGGACTCCTGCCTCGGCAGCAAGGCTCCGTGAGTCATGGTGAGTGTGGGAAATCGGAAAGCAGGTGGGCAGTTGTGAATCAGAGGGGGGGGGAAAAGACAGCCGTGGGCTGGGAGGAGCATCTCCGGGTCATTTCCCGCCTTCTGAGCCGTGATTCACTCCTGTGAGGGGCAAAGGGGCACCTGAGCCGAGAATAAAAGGAAAATACTATGGCAGCCGCTTCCCCCGTGGCAAGCCTTGCGTCAAAAAGCAAAACTCCTTAAAGGTTGATGCAATTTCCCAATCTCTCAGGGGATGCCCCAGAGAAGAGGGAGTCAAGCTATTCTCCAAAGCCCCCGAAGGCAGGACAAGAAGCAATGGGTGGAAACTAATCAAGGGGAGAAGCAACCTAGAACTAAAGAGAAATTTCCCGACAGTGAGAACAATTAACCAGTGGAACAGTTTGCCACCAGATGTTATGGGTGCTCCATCAATCGCTTTCAAGAAGAGATTGGACAACTATTTTTTCTACATGGTGTAGGCTGCTTGAGCAGGGGGTCAGGCTACAGGACCTCCCAGGTCCCTTCCAACTCTGTTATTTCTGAATTAAAGACTCTATGGAATCAAGCTAGATTCCCCGGGGGCTTCCGGAATTCTTCCGCTGATCGTTTTTGGGCCACTGTATAGAAGAAATGGTTTGTCTCTCTCTATCGGCTCCTGGGATTTGGGGGGGCTTTTCAACGCAGTCAAACTCTGGGATTTCCTACTGGCCTCCCATCCAAATAGTCACCAGGGCTGGTTCTGCTTAATTGAGGGCTTCACTTGTTATGCCTCTGCTTCCAAACTTCCTTTTTGGCCCAATCGTATGCCAAACCTGTAAATCCAGATTTAGAAGTTTTCTCCACTCTGCATGGACAAACAATCTCTTGATTCGCTTGCATAATCTCTACCCTGTTAAGATTTCCAATCAGATAAATTATCCGTGGCCATAAAGATAAAGGTTCCCTTTGAAACATGTGTGCTAGCCGTTCCCGGCTCTAGTGGGCGGTGCTCATCTCCGTTTCAAAGCCGAAGAGCCANCCAGAATTCCCCAGCCAGCATTCGCTGGCTGGGGAATTCTGGGAGTTGAAGTCCGGACATCTTCAAGTTGCCAAGGTTGAGAAACACTGTCCTATTAGCTAATCAAGGAACTACCAAGAACGTTCCCATGTTTCTTGACACTGACAGGGCAAGCCACTTGTATAAAAACAGAGAGCAAAACCTGTTCCTTTCTAGCATTGATGATATTACCAAACTGGGTAATGAA